AGTTGCCGCAGCACGAGCCGGCGGTCACAGGGCAGCCGCTGACCAGTCTCCGGATGCTTGTGGCCATGTGTGCAGCAGAAGCACCTGCATGTGACGATCGCTTAAACAAGCTGCAAGTCAGGGGCCAGTGACTTGGAAACAGGTGTCGGAAAAACTCCTGCTCAACCTCGCGCACGCCTTGCTCCTATGATATGCTTCAGCTACCCCTTTTGTGATATGACCCATGGGTTTTTGAAGGTAAGATGTACAGAAGTCATGATCATTGACAAGGTGAGACATCTGATCGGGTGCCAACGAGCGATGTCCCACAAATTGGACACGAAATACATACACTCATCACTATTCCCAAGGAACCCTATATACACTCACCCAAGACAACATTAAAAACCTTACTACATATCCCGCGACGCCAACAATGATGCATCATCAACAGCATCCAACCGGAACATCTAAGCTGCGGTTGGGCATATAACCTGGAGGAATGGCAAGTAGCCGAACATGAGCCAGAACCATGATGACTGTACCCATTTTTTCTTGCGGAAAGGAGGTCGAACTGAAGCCCAGGCAACAAAACATGCCAATGCGGGGCCTAGGCACTTGGAGTCCGAGATGCTGAAGCTCCGCAGCTGCTCTGGGAGTTTGCGCAAATCGTCTACAATGGAGATGCCCCAGTAGTGCTGAAACGGGCCGAAAAAGATAGCCCACAGTGCCTGACAACTCATGATCGTTTTCCTTCACACATAAGACACCAATGAAAGAAGCTCCTTCCCGCCTATCTCTGAAACCTGTGCTTGTGTGCATCACACGTTTATGTCCCGCAGACAGCAACAAAAGTGTGTGAAAGGCCTGCCAAAGCAGCCCGAACATAAATCAAAACGATCACCAGCCAAGCTTCGGTATTCACAAGTTACCAAACAACAATCTCTCCTTGTGATACGTATTTAGCCTGCATGCTCTCACTCTAGTCCAGCATTTGGCATTAACTCATACAACTTATTTGCAATCCCGAAAAAACAGATCATAATGAGAAGCCAGTTGCCAGTACCAGCCGGAAAGGGCCCGTTGCATCTTTCAGAGTGGGCACGGCTGGGAGGACGTGGTACAGTATCCTTGGCTCCAGACCTACTGAACTGTCACGAGAAAAGAGGTCCTCCAATGTTCGACGACGTTTTCGTTCTAAAGTTGGGTCCTGATTGTTGGGGGGCTCAATAAAGTAAAGCTTGCAAACAATTATTCCTGCCTCCCCCATTTGATTTGGGTGGCAATAAAGTAAACAAAAATTCTGCCGGAAAAATCTGGAGAAGGCTTTGATGAGTGTGCCCCGCAAGAGGTGGTTAGGGTTGAAGATGCTATTTCTTGTCATTTGGTCATAGGAGGATTTCACACGCCCTTCAAAAAATTGGATTTCTTGCTTCGGGTCGGTATCTTCCTCAACGTACCCCCGAGAGTGTTTCATTCCGCAAGTGGGCGCCTCCAATCGGTCGTGCCTTGCATGTTGCATGGGTGCTTTGAGAGTTTCTGGCCACTCTTTCAGTCACTCTGAGAACGAGAAGTGCGATCAGCTGGCGCCAAGTTCAGCTCAGCAACTGGGGCAAAATTACCTACCTGTAGATAGCCAAGGCCCAAACAGTGCACTTAGCAACTTGTAGCATCTGGACTCCACGTTCTGAGGATCCTTCTGGGTCTGTAACTATGAATTCACTGCTCGCTTCAAAGGTTGTATACCGCGTGGTAAAGCTTCCGTTCCGACAGCCCCTAAGCCAGCAAATTCCTGGAATCCTAGAAGTTCCATAATCGTGGACCCCAACTAAGACCGAAGAAAACCCTTAGAACACTTAGACTACAACTTGGCCAGGCAAGGAACATGAAGGAGGTCATGACGGCACAAATGAGGAAAAGAGCCCAAGCCATAGTCACCGGCAGAATCCTAATGTCAGCAACACGGTTTGGGTTCAAGGTCCGGCATGCATCCCACCGATGATGAAATCACAGCCGGGGGGGCACCCCTGAAAAAAAGGTGATCAAACAAGATTATGAGGGCCTCCCGCTAATCTTCAAGCGGCTCAGAAACAATTAAACCAAGAGAACTTCGGGATCGATGGCACTCCACGCTGTTTCTGGACCCCTCAAATCACGCATTCGTTCAGGCCTTATTGGGAGTTTGGGCAGGGTTTGCATGGGCAGGGTACACTGCTTAGCCAGCCAAAGCCCTAAGTACCTCGGAACAAGGCAGGTGCAGTTTTGACAGCAAATTCGGGAAGATTTGGCCGAAGAAGGCCTTTCGGCTGCAGCTGGTGGGTGCTGTGTGTGGCTCATGGGTGTCATAGGTGGCTTAGAAACCATCTGTGTACTCATATAAGAAGAAGCTTCGCCAAATAGAGCAAAAAGGTCCCACATACATAGTACTATAAGATCTTGGGTCTAAATTGGGGTCCCCTTATTTTGGGAAACTACCAGGTTCCAGTCTTTCTGGCATCGTTACGTTACCCCCACGCACGACAATCTTCCTGGATAAATCACGAGCACCTCAATATCTCGTAGAGCAGGCAAGAAGCTTGATGGAAGCTGACCTCTTCCAGCGAATGAAGGTGGCGATCTCATACGTGCACCAAAGCCTAGCATGCAGCATGGGTGGAATTTCCACTTTCAGCCTGATTGTCTGTGTAGAGCTTGGCCAATAGGGTTCTCCTCACCTCTTGTGCAGATTGGACTTTTGCACCACCAAGCCACTTTGGGAAACCTATAAGGCGGGACCCTTAATACCTCAGCCTACGAGTTCCCTTTTGCATGAACATTCTGTTGATGAACCACCCAGGTGCCTTTCAAAGTATCGCGGTGACCAGAGAATGGTCAGGTTGCTGGAGTGGTTCAGGAAGCTAGCCAATCCCAGGATGCCACGCTCCTCGATTTCATGGGGAAAAACAAGGGGGCTCTACACCAGCTTATCTGCTTAGGGTTTAGGGTTTGGCTGTAAGGGAGCTATACACCTACTTATCTTCCCAAGGGTTGCATTTCCATAAGCTGATTGTGCTCTGCTTTTCCAGTACGCTCTAGTAGCACTGGCAAAGGAACCCTGGATTCCAGTCAGGGGATCCAATTTGGCACATGCTATTTCTCTTCTTTGTCTTTCATGAGCCTTCATTTCACACCCTGCTCCTTCAGCAGCGGGTCGCGTTGGTTGATGCACACCTGGCGATGGATTTTGTCGACGTTCCAAAACACTAATCTCTGATGTCGGTGACTCACTCGTCAATAACATGGTGTCCTGGCCTTCAGCACACCCATGCAACATGCAGGGCACGAGCGATTGGAGGCGCCCACTTGCCGAATTAAACGCTCTCGGGGTGCGTTGAGGAAGGTACCGACCCGAAGCAAGAAATCCAAATTTTGAAGGGCGTGTGACATCAACTCCTATGAGCACATGACAAGAAATAACATCTTCCACCCAAACCACCGCGTGCGGGCACATTCAGAACAACTTGGAAAAGCTGAAACGCTAACAGAGAATAAGCAATACAGACACTTGTGCACTTCTGTCTTGTAATGTAATGCCCCCCAAGCACACTCAACCAACAAGCAGAAGACACGGCCCTCTCTCTGTCAGCAACCCTCAATTTTTCCTGAATCCTTCACCTTGTCCAGGAATACCAGCTTCGGGCTCAGACAAAAGCAGCCCCGCAGCCGCTGCCAGAAGCAGAGCACCAGGAAGAAGGCCAAGTGCCCAAAAACTACATAGTAAAGCCTGGCAGGGGGTAGCGCTCTGGGCTGGAGTTGAGGCTTCAGGCATCTCATCCCCATCATCCACCGTGACGGAGTTCCGTCACTGATCAAGCCTGTCAAACGAATCTGTAATTGTAGAGTTTTCACTGACAAGGCGCTCTAGCAGAAGTAGCTCTGTACTGATTGTTCCCTCGGAATGGCAGCAGTTGAGAAGGGCTCAGGTCAAATCCGTTCAGACAATACTGGCTACATGAGGGAGACAAGTGGCCCTGCAAGGCCCTTGAGAGGCTGGGATGGGAGGCCTTCAAGGCCCAAAACGCCTGAGAAGCCCCTGCAAGGCGCTTGAAAGGCCCTGGAGGCGTTAGGCCCCTAGAAGGCTTTGGGAGGCTCCTGGGAGGCCCCTCAAAGCTTCCTGAGAGGCCCCTGGGAGGCCCTGAAGGCTGCAACAGGGAACTGCTGGCATATCAAGAATTACAGGACACTACGACAGTAAGACAACCGCAACACATGAGAGCCTGAAAGGAAGCAGCTGGCAAGCCACCGCCGCCCCAATCGTCAGGCTGGTGATGAGGCAGGCCAACGCCGCTGGACCCGAGTTGAAGAGGATCAGCAGGGTCAACCTGGGCATTCAATTTTCGGAAACTTTGGGGGTCGAATTCTGGATGCCGGCGCAACTACATGCACCGGGCACCGGACACAAGGAGAGCATTCGTTGGGAGACTTCTAGGCGATGGGAGAGAAAGAGAGAGCTCCTGATAAAACGAACGGCCGGAAAATGCCAGCGCCCAGAATGTCCACTCCTATACCCTTTTGCAGGCCCACGCTCACTTGCACTGCCGCACTCTGTTCGTCTACCCTTCTTCCTTGCACAGCCTCCTGCACATGCTATTCTCCCTCCGGCGGAGTTGGATGATGTTGGATGCATCAAACTTCATTAAATTATCCCAAATGCTCCAAATGCCTCAAAATTTGGGGGATGTCGAGGCACAGCTTTGACCAACGCGAGGTGGCCCAGTCGTGGCTGAGGAAGGTGTCGATCTCCTTTTAAGGACATGTTCCTTGATAGCCCTCGCATAGCGTAGTCCTCCCTGAAAGGAAATTCAGGCCAAAGCTTCTGCTGGCTGCGCTGACCTTCACTGTTGCCCATTGGTCTGTACGTGTGTCTCCCCTGCCTACTGCCTCCCCTTCAAGCATATGTACAGAGACTGACGCCAAAACAGTCAGATCTAGCTTATCCACTCTGCAAATCTCGTCGTAAAAACAAAACGGCCCCAGGCAAGCTACACCGCATCCTCTGTTTGCTGGCTGAGGTTGTAGAGCCCCTTGTCCACGTCCTTGGATACAAATGACTGTGCTTGCGCTGTACTTCAACTGCCCTCATCTTGCAAAGCCACATGCGTGGGAGGGTTTAGGGTCCTATGCTTTGAAATGACTTGGGTCATTTTGAGTGTTCAGGAAATGTTTTGCAACTATGAGCCGCATAGAAGTTCCCAAAATGCTCACACTCCCCCTTATGAACCCTGTCAGCCCTAAAGCTTGCAAAGCCTAGTCTCTCCCATGCGAATCTCCTGAACCCAAAGCTGTGCACCCTGAAAACCAGTAATGCTGAACCCCAATCCGCCATGACAACAAGGAGCCAGCAAGCCCTGCGATCCAGACCAATGCTTTGCCCACCCACTCAGGGCAACCTGCAGGGGAACTCCGCGGAGCAGCCTCAGAGTAGCACTTCGGCTCCTAAAACACTAGAAAAATGCAGCACCCCAACCCTGCTACCACTTTCCCGATGCATTTTGCTTGCGATCCATAAAATGGCGTAATGACCCCACCGCCGCTCCCAGAGCATCCCCTGGAGACCCAGAATCTTGGGAACCCTTACGTCACCGCAAAGCAAGACTGATTCAGCGTAGCTTCTCGCGTTCAAGCTCGAGGAGCAACTCTTTGGAGACCTCAGCGCCCATCTAGCCCCCAATGCATTCACGCAGTCCAGACTAATCCCGCAGCTATGCGTCACTTTCCAGCCTTTATCCCAGAAACTCCTGATACCATTTCTCGACGAAAGTCGGCAAGCAATGACCGGTAGCTCAAGAACAACTGGAACTACTTCCCCATCCTCGTTCATTATTTTCCACGGAAATTCAGGACATTTATTGGGAAATTGTGATTTTCTTAGACTGCAATGCAACTCAGCTCGTATTCACCCAGCCTCTGCATGTCTGCAAATGCATAGAATGCTTGAAGTGGGTTTGAAGGGGGTTCTGTGATGGTGCTGGCCTGGACCCCAAGGTAAACAATTGCCCAAAATCCCTTCAGACAGCCCAAAAGGTAAATTATTCTACATAATTACTTTTGGGGTTCAGGTAATGACTCAATAACAGCCTGACTCCTGTAGACCCAAGACTTGCAAGCTAGGGGCCTTGGAAGCCTGGACATCATCTGGAACAGCCATTGTCATTGACCCATGAGGCACAACAAAGCCGCGAACTTCCTTCCCCAAGTCAAGAAGGGGGGCTTTTTTACTTAGAAAAGCTTGAAAGCTCCTTTCTGCCTAATTGTCCAGCCAACGTAGCTGTCCATGCGCAGTTCTTTGGAGCCGAATACTACGAATGCGGAGCAGCAGATGCTGGTTAGGGGATGCAGTCGTAGTGGTTGTCAGTGCGTGGCGGCGGCCGTGGCCAGAAACATCCCGCAATCGGAACCTTGTTACGGTACCTGTGCAGAAACAGAGGTAGTAACTCTAGTTGCAGGAGCCTAGATAAGAGCGAAAGGTCATGATGAGCTTTGCTGATTCACAAGAGCTGTCAGGCCGTAACATGACAATGGCGCCAATGCGCGCCAATCATGCACACCCTTGCAGACCCACCTGTCAGTTCCTCCACCATGGACGTAGCCCATCTTTGTAGACATGTAATACGTGTAGATATGAAGGTATGTACATATCACATAAAATATTATACGCACGCATATCTGCAAAACCGATTTTGTGAACTTTAGGGAGTGGTGTGCTATCAACAGTGCAGTTGTGAACCAGAAAATGTGGAGGGGCGCAGTCAAAAGAAGAGCAGGACATGAGATCTCAAAGGCGTGCCGCCTGTGCAGTCAGTTTCTGGAGCTTTCTGCACGGCACAACTTCAGCACCACCAAGCACTGCAAACATGCCTACTTGTCCACGAGTCCTTGTGCAAAGTGAGAGCCACGGGCCGGGACGAAAGCTCAATAAGGGACAGGAGTGGTGAGACAGGATGTGCACAGACAGACCATATACAACCAGAAGAGCGCGCAGCCCAGCCCTCACTGCGCAGGAAACGAACTGCAACCCTCCTACCGAAAGTCTCCTATAAAAAGCATCCTCCAAGATCTCCCCAGGATCCTCCCAAGATCTCCCCCAAGATCCCCACCAAGATCACCCCCCAAGAATAGGCGGAAAATCCGGCTTGTGGCGCAGGGCAGCTCAGACAGAATTGCCCGCACTCCCACCCCCCGGCAGGATCCCGGGCTCACTCCATGAAATAATAAGCGAAGCTCCCTCCGTGGAGCTTTCTTGACCTTACGGTTTGCACCCAGATTTGCACGGAAGCTTCGGAAGGCCCACATCTTCAAATGCAACTGGATTTTGCGCACTCTTTTGCCAGTAAACCTTGGTCGCATCCTTGCGATAAAGGCATGAATCCAGCTCGGGCCCTGGTTGGACTCAAAGGGCCCGAGTAAGGAGATGCCCAAGTATATGCCTGGATAGAGTCCAGTTTGGGCTGAGTAGGCCAGGAAAGACCACAAGATCCGAGAGAAAGCTCTGAAGTGCACACCTTTGGGCAGAGCTTCTTGAAAAAATGATTTAGTTGCTGTGGCTCCTTCCTTTGACCAACTAAAGCCTATCCAGAACTTAATTGCCGCCACGTTCTGCTGGCAAATTAAGACATGTGACATGTTTAAATCTGCTGTGTGGGAAGCGAATTTGGGATTATACCCATCCGCAGCATCATGCGGGACTCCCACTCTCAGCCGTCGCAGCATCTCAAACAGGCAGCGTTGCAGTTGCAAACAAGGGAACTTGGCTGCATAGCCACGTTAGCAGCATCTGTGTAAGGTACCTGCAAGGAGCATACCATGATGGCGCCACGTCGGCGGTCAAAACAATTGTGCTAAACGGTATGTGGAGACTCTTGCTCCGAGATTCACACATTACATCATGCCTGAACTGTTGTCAGAAAGTCGGCGGCTCCAACGCAGCCATCACTGAGCTGGCCGGTCGTTACCGCCCGTTGGTGCATTCGAATTTCCGGATCGCGCCCGACTTCCTCAAAGACGTCCAGAACCTCCCTCAGATTGCACAAGCTCAGGATATATGCGCATGTACTCATCCGTGCCGGTGCGAGGTCAAGTTGAGAGAGGGTCTTCACGGCTTGACGTAAATGCACGCTAGCGCCGCTCAAGTTTCTTGGCTTACAGACCTCCCTGGGGCCTTGCCACAACTGCATGACAGTGAAGCCATACGATGTTCATGCATGATGGGATGCAAGAGCTGCAATGTTGCTAACAGCATTGTCATGATTATTATGGAAAGGGACTGGTAGCCACCCCAACGACGGTGAAGGCGCTGTGCCAATGCCTGCGAAATTTCAGCTGAGGGGATCAGGCACTTCTTGGAATGATTGAGAAGGAACCTAGAACACACCAGGAGGGCTTAGACAAGCCGGGTCTCTTAACAGGGTCTGGGATACGGAGCGCTATACTGATACCCTACACCTGCTTGGCAAAACCCGGTCTTCTGACATACCTTGACTGCGCGTGCGGCATGATGCGTGCATCTGCAAGCAAGTCGTGCACGGCAACAGCAATCACGGCAATAGCTTGGGGTCATAAACAGGCAGTGTTCTGGCACGTGTTCTGTCTGCGTTGTCTCGTAGACCCAGCACACTGGTTGCCATGCAGGATGCTTGTCAGCCCGCTGCAAATGCGGACTCCACAATCTATAGCAGTAACTAGCCAGCAGCGCACGGTCCTCTCTCCTGAGACTTGCATACTGCTACCCTACAGAGCACACATGAAAGAGCCCCCCTGCCTCAGGAGTCAGGCCGCGATTTGTCTGGGAGTTGAGACGTGCTCCGAGTCGGATCAAGGCCCTGCGGACAGGACTGCCTCTTTGAAATAATATCAGGATCAGAAGATCAGAAGTAGAAGTAGCAAAAGGAGGACAAGCAGCAAGCGCTTCTCTCCTCTTCGGCCAGAACGTGCTAACAACATGCTAGTCGAGCGCTCAGCTCACGTGAGCAGGACGAATCAGAAGCTTGCAGCAACAACGACAACAAATCTTGAGCCTGCATGCGCATGCTGAAACTGCAGAGCCTTGTTTAGCAACTGATGATAGAGAGGATGATGCTGATCATGCTGATGATGTGACTGTAAGAATGCTGACAACTTCGCCGATCAACTCAAAGCATAACATTCATGTTGCACTTTTCGGCCCCATTTTTATGATGCATTGGCTGATGCCCCGCTCATCTCAACAACTTGGGCCCACGTGTGGGGGGGGGGGGTACGAAAGCTTCAAAGCAGCAAGCAGGAGCAGGCTCTGGGCAGGAGTGCAACTTTAAGATGTTGAGCGCACCAGCGTCCGTAGCACCATACACACCGACCTGAGCCATAGCGATGATTTGGAGTTAGGCGATGAGGGTGCAGAGACCTGTGCAACCCGCTGCAGCCAACCTGAACCGGTGTGGCTATGGTTGGACATACCAGACTCTGCCCGAATACAAGAAAAGCTCCGCAAGCATGGCCTCCGCCATGCCCAAAACATGACACACTACCCCCCGCCCGGGCCAGCATCAGCAGCATCGACAGCATCAAGAGGCGTTTTGTTTCTCTACCCAGAAGCGGTGGCTGCCAGTCGGTTACTAGGACCATCAGAATACCCCCCAAAATCCCTTCCCTGATAAGGCCTGGTTTCTGAAAGCGGCCAAATTTTAGTCCAAACCCCCAGGACAGATCAGCATGGCTGGGCCGGGCTAAAAACGAGAAGCTTTAGAGGAAGCTTTCGTTTCTTCGCTGTGAGGCTTAGGCATGCTTACGCAGCGATGCCATGCCCTGCATTCGAAGCTTTCCACTACAGTGAGCCGCGAGGACCAAGAGTCATACGTCCCACATGTCTTCTCTTGCTGAAGCCGTTGCACGCCTCACGATGGCAGGCTTCTTCTGCTGGACAGCCATGTGGAGTGGATAGCCTTTGTGGCACGGCCAGTGGATTGCAAATCGACTGGCGTTGCGGATACCACCGGGTGAGTTGCCAAGCGATTTATGCTTATGAGAATGGGTTCCTCAAGCTGCACCTAGAACCCGACCTCTTTCAGCAGATGCATCCACAAATACGGAAAGTCTATGCAGCAATGCTATTAATGACAATAGTAATGGCAATAATAATAATCACATGCATAATCGTAGTACTAATAATAATAGGAATATTAGGTATAATGGAAATCATAGAGGAGCTGGTGATAATGGAAAAATAATACAAACATGGTAAGAGCAGTCAGTTATATGCCTAATGTGCATCACGCGATGATTTCTCAGATGCTAGGATCTGGTTGCTCTGCAGGTGACCTACGCTACTCGGTTCTGGAAAAACCTAGACGCTTTTGAGAGACACCTGCTACCCGGTTACAATCCTGACTTTTAAGGCTGCTTCGTCCTCTCATGACCTCTCCCCCTAATATTAAACCCCCCCACCCTCCCTAATATCAAATACTCCCCATTGTGGTATGTAACATGTATATGTGTTGGGAGTATTTGATACCAGCCGAGGTTATATTAGGGGGAAGGGGTTTGTCATTCAAGTCTTCAGCCTGCAAACTGGTGTGGCCTCAATACTGCTCAGATTATCTCTTGACAGCCCAAGGCCACATCCCAAGGCCCAATAGACAGCCTGAAGTAACTGGATAGAAAGAAATACCCCTGCAGGCCTGCAGGATTCCAATTTGTAAAATCAGATTTGCCACGCACAAAATTTCATCCCTATATGCTAAGGACTCCAAGAATCGCAGACCAATCCCAAATGTCTCTAGAATCCGAAAAGCTGTCCTCTTTTTGGGAAATCCAAGCCCTGGCCATGTAAGTTAAGGAGCGCGTGCGGCCCCAGGAGTGCTTTGCCTCGTTCACATGCATGTACCTGCCGTCCATGCTCTGCAAGGGGCCCTTCATTCAGTAGGGCGGTAAGATTCTCTACAAGGATACTCTACACAGCAATGACATTGACTACTGATGTCTACTGATACTATTGATTTTGTGGGCACCTTGTGTCTCCTTGCTACGCTCTCTGGCATGTTCTGTTTTTGGGCAGGTGATGCCGCGTACCGACTGTGACAGCACAGGGTGTGCCCTCAACACACCTTTGTCGCTTGAGCAAGAGCACCTGCAATCTCCGCGGCTCGGTTTCAATAAGCCCTAATAGCAGTGCACCAGGCATTGTGCCGCAGGGAAGGGCACAATACCCAAGCAGGTGTTGCATCGAAAAAAACAAATCTGCTAATTCAGTTCCGGTAAGGGACGACAATCCTGAAGACATCCGGTGGACATGGTTGAAAAAAACATCCCAAACGTACGTATCAGCCATTCTAAGCACGGGCTCTGTGAACGTAGCGCAACCCCACCCCTGTCCCTGGCACACCCATTGGCATCAAGGAAGGACTTGACCACCAGCTTCCGCCTCAAGTGTCCACTAAAAGCCATGCAGAGATGGATGACAAGCATGCGAATGATACCTCGGAAATAAGGTAAGGATGCAGGTGCAAACAGATTCGAAGCACAAACGCCAGGCAATGCCGTCTTGCTCTGCTGCTGCCTAAAGTTCTATTCGAACGTTTTTACTTCAAGGTTCCATGTGCGTCTCTGACTTTGGAGGCCCTACCAAGAGAGGGCACAAGGGATGCTCGTAGCATCCCGGCTCTTGCAAAAAACGTTCCCAGCTTTCTTATGCTTCTGGACTGTGTTGCGCAATGAGTCTGTGTTTCAACGCCCACTTGCTTTCGGAGTCAGAATCTCATAGGTGGCACGCTGTTGTGAGGTCATGCTTAGCTTTCTCATGGCGAGAAAGAGGCATCTTGTGTTACATGCTGCGAACGTGAACGATGCAATATCCTCCTAAAAATGCGGAGGGACCGTGGGCAAGCCACTTGGTCCCTTCACCACAGAAGACAAACCCACGAACTTGCCAACCCGAAGCTGTGTCAAGACCAGCTGCTGGAAGTCGCGCGAGACTGACTTCGTGGTGCGGCAAGAAACCAAAGTCCCCGAACTTCCTGGGAGAAGTCATCTTAAAGGACTTAAACTGGAGAATGTCTCTGGATGCTTGGGCAACCCATCCGTCAACTTGGGTATCAAAGGCCTGCTACATGCTAGAAGACCTTCAAAACTTGCATGCGACATCTCACGTATAGGTGTAGGCTATCGCAGCGAACGTCATGTTGCACACAGGTGCGGTGTCTGGTGTTAGAGAAGTGCTTCCTAAAGCTCCGCAGAGGACAACAGGCTTTTCTACAACCTGCGAGGTAGCGCCGATACTCTCCCAACGAACCCAAAATAGCAGTCACAACCATCGTGGTACTACCACCCACCAACAGGATTGAATTGCAAGGAACAAAGCAGCGTTTGCAAATCCCGTCGCGTCCTTTCAAGTGTACAGTGTTGCTGTCTAGCCGGTTGGGGCGCCTATCCCTAGCTTTAACAATAATATGAATTGAATAACCTGAATAACCACTGGAGTATTATTGCCGGTAACATTAACTAATATTGTAATCCGTATTGATATCAATAGGTGTTTCTGCCCAAGCCCACGTAGTTTTCCTCGTCCCTTAGTGGTTGGAGGATCCGTGTGCACTGGCAGAGGCCCTAGGTGAGGCCTAAGCCCACGACGAGGGCAAAGCTTGGCTGTCTTTTACTGGACCCACGCTGAGACCCTTTCTTTCCACGTATCGCGCATTTTGCGCAGTTCGGGTGTGAGTGGTGCGCTTAGCTCAGTGCATGCACATATTGGGAGCTACAACGCCGAGGCTTTACGGTCTCTTTCTTGTAGCCAATTGCTTACAGTGGGGTGATTTTGTGGCACATCCCAAAGAACAAGACGAGCGCTACCAGCCGCAGTCGATCGAGGGAGGCGTCTTGGCACAGGCGCTTGCGCAGAGCCCGCACAGTGGCCAGAACGAGATTGAGAACTTTCATCTGCAGCCGTACGGCCGTAGACATTGCCCAGATCCAACAAGACATACACAGTCTGCAGGGTCATCATTCTCACTCCACGTTGCCTCACAAAGCCGAACAAGTACTAGCCGATCTCTCAGGCGCGATCCATCACACCAACAACAGCGAGCACGACACAATGGCGGAGCGACAACCTTGGTACTGCAACAACTGCTGGCGATTAAACAAGATTGCCGCAGAGCATTGTGGAGGCTGTGGTCAGCATTGGACGCGGGGATACACTTTACAGTCACAGTGGCAGACGGGGAACACGTATCTTGGACAGCACGGGGAAAGAACAGCATCACCCAGGAGACGCCAATCCCCCCGAAGGCGGACTACGCCCTGGAATCATGCAGCAAAGGGCGGCCAGCAGCACGAGGGGAAGGGGGATGCGCCCTATCATGTTGCCACATGGAATTGTCCGGAGCCTCCGTGGAAGGTGCCAGAGAAAAGGGCTTCGCCTGGTGCTATGGCCAGTCCTCCGGAGGAAAATGGGCAACTGCAAGAATTGGTGGGAGCCATCAAAACAGCCTTCAATGGCCAAAGCATTCCTGGACCCATCGCGGAAGCAGTGGCAAAAGTAGAGAGCGCATCGGACAAAAAGATGACGAAGGATCTCCATGCCAGAACAGCGGAACTGGGTCAAGCCAGGCGTCAGCTACATGGTATTCGGAAAGCCAGGGATGCGCAGGACGCGTCATGGCTCCAATACCTACAAGCCACGACGGAGGCCTTGGACAAAGGATCGAAGGAACACGAGGCGAAGAGGGCAGACTTGGACAGACAAGAGAAAGAGGCCAGGCAACGAGCTGGTCAAGCGCGGCGAGCAATTCGGGAACTTGCCTCATCTTCCAATGCCAAGTCTGCAGAGGTAGTGGTAGATTCAGATTCGTTCTCGGACATGGAGATAGGGGATGCTGTAGCCATGGACGAGGACGATTCCATGGTGCAAGCGCAAAAGAAGTTGAAGACCACGATGGCAGCATTGCTGACCAGAATACCGGACATGGAGACCGGTCAGCAGAGGCGAAAAGCAGACGATGCATCCAAGAATGCGCCCCCCAATTAGGCCGCCACGTCGCATGGGCACCCAGGAGTGGACGTGTGTGGCCGATTGAGGCGGCAGGGTGGTGCGCCGCTGAGCACTCCATCAGGCAGGAGCCAGACTTTAAGCCAGTACATGTGGCGGTCTCTAACGGGCTGCTATGGAGCTACTGCTGCAGTCTCCTAAATGTAGACAGTCGACATGCGGACGCTGTAGCAGAGCAGCTTGGTAGTCTCACTTTTCGACAAGAATGGTTTGATTCTGCTCAGGAGAGTAGGCACGGACATGGGGACACAAGGACTGTGGAGGCTCACATGCTTGATCATTTAAGGCGTGATGGCACTTCAGCGGTCACTTTAAGTGTGCGCAAAATGGAGCTCAGAGGGATACTTAGAAGGAATGCTCTAGGGAAACCACACCCTAGAGTACGTTTCGAAGGGCTTGATCAAATTATTTCGGGACAGTGGGTTAGCATGACCTCATGCACTGACTCGTCGCCCGGCAATTTTGTAAGAGATGGGGCCATGTCCAGCACAGAAGGCCCACTCTTTAGAAGTGAAACATTTCACGAGGGCGGAGCCCAGTGGAGTGATGTTGGGATGCCTCCAAGCAGGATGTCAAACAGATTGGGCAACTTGAATGCTGTTTGGGAAGGAGACTCCTTGCCCTTGACCTCACGATGTCCCGCCACAACTGGCCAGCAGAATGATGACGCACCTCAAAAGCGGCAGCTACTCCTTGAACCGTTGCTTGAGTCGGGGAGGGTCTGTAGCGGTTGTTTCACTGTCGGTGCTCGGCTCGAACACCTGATTGATCTTCTGCTTCCTTTTGATTTGAAGTCGCTGAGTCGCAATCTTGATCAAGTTGACTTGCACCCTGCCACATGCGAAGCGTTGAGTTGCATGCAGTCTTGGGACGGACAGTTGGAGGTAAGCCGCTTGAGAGTGTATGTTGACGGGTCTTTTGAAGAAGTTACAGATCGGGCAGGTTGGGCGGTTGTGGTGCTAGGGCTCACTGACACGGGATGGCAGTGGCTTGGGTACATGTCCGAACATTTGCATGAGCCAGGGCATGACAGGCATTCTGGACACACCCGCAAATCGGCGCATGCGGCCGAGATGGTTGCTATGTTGCATGCCCTCAGCATAGTTGCGCATAATGATCTGCCTTCGGAGGTTGTGTTTGATGCAATGGTTGCAGCTGAGGTGGCGCAGGGCTTGTGTTACCCGGACGCGCATGTGGGACTTGCTAGGGCGACCACAATGATGCATATTATTGCGCAGCACAGGGGATCTGTCAGCTATCGCCATGTCAGGTCACATCAAGGTGACCCTTTCAACGAAATGGCAGATTCCTTGGCCAAGGCTGCTTCCCGAAGATCCCGGATGAATCCACCTCTAGGCTGCATGCTGCAGGACGCAATCCGTGAAGGGCGTTTGAGTTGGCTGTGGTGGGTTGTGTGCGATCTTGTTCATACGGGAGTGCTGCCACCTGTTGATGATAACGGGGTCACGGTTGAGTCACGTCAACACTTGCCGCGACCATGTTTTGCAAACGGTGCTGTGCCAGGGGTTCCCAGTGCACTGTGGGGCAGTGACAGGAGTGAGACACATCCGGCCAAATGGCGGCTTGAAGTTGCCACATACAATGCTACCACGCTTAAGCCGGTTCATGTAAGACAGCAGCTTGATCAGGAGTTCTGGCGAGCAGGATTTGCTGCTGTTGGGATTCAGGAAGCCAGGTGGCGACCCAGTGAGACGTATGAGCTGGGCCATTTCAAGTGTTTTTGCAGCGCAGCTGTTCGGGGACAGCTCGGATGTCAACTTTGGTTGAACAAGGCCGCGCGTTTGGCCGTGGGTGAGGACGGGCGCGAATCACGCTGGAACTTGCGAAGCGCTGCCATCCTCGTCCAGAAGCCCCGCCTTTTGGTTGTTACCGTGCAGGCTGGTAACCGGTTGTTTGCCTTCATTGTTGCTCATGCGCCCACTAGTGATGCGGCGCCGGATTCAGTTGTTGAATGGTGGGGGCAGCTCGAGGGGGCTTACGGGTCATACCCAGGAACGCCCTGCCGATAGTCATGATTGATGCGAATGCCAGGTTCCGCGAGTATAGTGAGCCCACATTTGTTGCTGGTAGACAGGCGGTCAATCAGAACGCGGAACATTTGCAATCGTTCATAGGGCAACATGGCCTTGAGGGGAGCAGCAGTCATGACGTGAAAGGGCATCGCGTTGTGACTTGGGTATCTCCCAATGGGGTTCCTGCCCATCTTGACTATGTGCTTTTCCCCAGAGAACTTGTCTGCTCAGCGCTCACACAAGGCAAGCCTGAGAATTTCCAGGATCCCACTGAGATTGACCACGAGGTCATGAGCATGAGCCTGAGTTGGCAGGCGGAGGTCAAATCCGGCAAGTCGATTCCCCGATGGGACACGAAGGCCATGCGGAGTAGCGAAGGTCAGGATACTCTCTGTAAAATCTTTGCTTCTGTCCCGGCAGTCGGATGGGAGCAACACCCAGATGTGCACTTGCAAGTTGTCAATGAGCATGTTTTCACCGAGCTCGGTAAACATTTCCAAAGTCCTCGAGATGCTCCCAGGGAATTGCATGTCTCGGAACAACAGTGGACGTCTGTGAGGTGCCGCAGGCAGGCTAGGCGGCTCATGCGCAGGATCAAGTTGAGGGCGCGCAAAAGTATTCTTGATTTTTTCTTCCTTGCGTGGCGCAGCCATGTTGGTGGTGGCGATGGTGCCCGAGTTTGGCAGAGATGTAGCTTGGGTGTTCAGCTTAGGCGGCTCGGATTCTTGGAGGCTCAGCTCACAAAGGTGATTCAGGGCCTGAACCGGACAATACGCACTCAGGGCGCCAAAGATGCGGCCGCTTTTGTCAGGGAGACGGTTGCAAGCGCACGGCAGCAAGGAACGGAAGCACTTGCCAAGGCCCTAAGGGGAGTAATGAAGTGTGGCAGGCGCTATAGGGCACCTGTTGCTGCGCCGGCGTTGTGTGTGGATGGAGTTTTCATCACGGAGCCTGAGGAGGTTAATTGCGCATTGGAGCGTCACTTCGCTGGGCCTGAAAGGGCGGTTGAGCGTAGTCTGCAGGATTTGCTTCTGGCTGATGAGCCTGCGCAGGTTGATGTCTTTGATGCCCGTTGTGTTCCGGGCCTCCTTGAGATAGCCGAAGGCTTTAAGGCCATGAAAGATGGGAAGGCTCCAGGCTTGAGCTCTATCCCCGTTGAGGCGTACAAGTACGCGGCGCTCCCGGCGGCTGAAGTGCACCTGCCGATCGTTCTGAAATCAGTACAGCGAGGACTCATGCCGTTGTTGTGGCGTGGTGCCAGAGCGGCGGCAATCCCTAAACCCGCTAAAAATCTTTCCGCGCCACAGGGGTGGCGCAGTGTTGCGTTACATGAGGTTGCATGCAAGGGCCTAGGGCGAGCGATCAGGCAGAGACTCACGGACGGACTCAGGCTTGTTTCGCAACGTGGGCAACATGGTTCGCTCAAACAGCAACACATTTCGATACCCAGTCAGTACGTCAGAACATACTTGCAAATGTTGAATTCCACTGGCCAAAGTGGCGGAGTGCTGTTTGTTGACGGGAGGGATGCTTTTTAGTGTGTTGAGAGAACACTTGTTGCGGAACCCTCTCCAAAACAAAGAGCACATTGAACAGCTCGCTGCCTTTCTTGCCGTTGACGAAGACCACAAACTTGAGTTGATCTTGACTTTGGCGGGGCCAGGTGCGGTTGAGGAAGCTGGCGTATCAAGCGAGATGCAAATCGTGCTGGGCACCCTGATGAGGGGTACATGGTTCTCCATGGACGTGCATTGCCAGCGCCTGCAGGAAACTCAGTCAGGCACCGTGCCGGGGTCTCCCCTAGCAGACTTGCTCTATCAGTATGTTCAGGCACGATGCCTCCGCAAAGCGCAAAATGCTCTGTCAAAGGAAGGTTTGACTGCGAAAGCCCAAATTGAGGGAGCGGAGGCACCGATCCCTGGATGGGCTGACGATCTTGCTTTGTTGTTGCCTGTTGGAGATGCATGTACCGTGGTTGCGAACCTACAACGTGTGACCCAGGTCATAGCTTCTGACAGGTGTACATTTGAATTACAGTCCCGGGAAGACAGAGGCCATGCTTGTGGTGAATGGGCCAGGAAGCCGGCAGGTGAGAAGAACTTTGTTCGGCTGCACTGAGCCTGGCATTGAGGTGGCAATAGGGGACAGGCGTGTTGTGCACCTCCGACTCGTTGATCAATACACGCACTTGGGAGGCGTGGTTCACTTCAGTGCTTCATGTTTGCTTGATATGCAAAAGAAGGCATGTGGGGCTGACATTGTGTTTAGGCGGCTGCGAGCAACCTTGTTGAGAAACCCAGAGCTTTCTGCGCATGAAAAACTTGAGCTGCTCAGGAGCCTTGTGATGTCGAAGTTTTGTTTTGGTGCGGGCCATTGGATGCTTAACTCGCACAAAGAACAGCATGTGTTTCGAAAGACGATCATGGGCCATTACCGTGCTTGCTGTAGACAAGTGCAAGGTTTCAGCTCGAAGTTGTTGACAGACAGCGAGGTGTGTGCCGGTCTGGGTGTACTGGAACCGCAAGACATACTCGCAGTCGAGCACACGAGGCAGCTCGCCTTTGTTGCTATGCATGGGCCAGGCTTCTTGTGGGATGCCATCATCGTAGCCAAAGGGTGGCTTCAGCATGCGTCCGGATCCTTGCAACGCGTGCTGGCGGGAGTCGGTTGTGATTGGCAACTGCCTGATGTTGGATATGATTTATTGGAGGCCCTCACCTACAGAGGTGAACAGGTGAAAGGAGTGCTCAGGCAGTTTGTCAAGCAGCGTGTGGCGCAACAAGAGTCTCATGGCAGCTTGATCCGTGCCACTGCACGAAAGTTGGAGGCGTTTGAAAGGCGTGGTGGAGCAGTGATACCGTTGGTTGAACTGGAGAGTGCGGTGGGACACAAGCCTTTTGCTTGCGACCATTGCTGTCGCGGCTTCAAAAACAAGGCAGGCCTTGCCGCACACTTGGCCAACAGTCATGGCATTCGAGCAGAATTGGCTCACATAGGCGGGTCGGTCTGCGCTGTTTGCCGTGTTGAGCACTGGTCTACGCCGAGACTGGTTGAGCATGTCCGACACTCAAAATTGTGCAGAGCTGTTTATGCTGGTGCTGACCTTGATTTGCCTCGGTCTTTTGAGCGGGTTGGGAAGCGTGATGACATGGCGTGGCATCCTCCGGTGAACAGTTTTGGACCGAGCCCTGCTTGGGCTATACTGCGACCGGGCGGTGCCAATGAGGATACGAATGCGGCCCAGCCAGGGGAAATTGAGAGGCAACAAGTAGCTCAAGCCGCAACCAGCTTGAAGTCGCTTCTGCAAATGTGTGGGGTTGGGGATTTCAGTGAGTGGGCTCAGGAGGCTTCCAGATGGTTCTCCAGATACGGGGGTCATTATGAGGGCCATGTGACCAACAACCGGCACAAGTGGCATGCACTTTTGGAGGCATTTCTTTACCTCAAAGCCCAAAAAAATCAGCTGCCAGCGGATGGCATTGTGATTGATGGGCTACATCTGCAAATCCGTGGACGGCGAGTTGAGCTCCTGTTCACTGATTCATAGGCTGCAGCTATGCATGAAGAATTTGAGAGCGCGCTTTTTTTTTTTGCACTAGCAGCATTCCAAAAAAAACAAATATCAATATTTCTTTATTCTTGTTATCCTTGTCTTCGGGCAAGCATCCCACGGTGTCCAAGATGGAGGTCCCCATGTTGGCACTCGTGGCGCTGGAGCTGGTGTTGGTGCCAGTGCTTGTCCTGAGAACTCATGGCTGGATTTTGGATGCTTGCGGTATTGAAGCCATTTATCGTCTTGAGACGCGAAGTCGAGCATTCAGAAGTTTGTGGTTGAGGCGTAGCTTGCGGTTGGTTTATTGGGTGGGGTGTGCTTGTGCCTGTCTCACACACACATAGACAGACAACTTATGGTCCTCTCGTGGGTACCCTAAGTAGTACGGGCTGTATTGTTATCCCAAGGACCCGAGAATGAGAAGCCAAGAAGGGAACATAATTTTGACAACCTACGGTACCACATGAGGAAGCACAGGATTACATAGAGGCAAGGCTGCGAGCAATTCCAGGATGTTGCTACGTGAAGGCCTAGAGGAAGCTTAAGGCATCTAGCAAAACACCAGTGAAAGACCACGCGAGACCAGTGTAGGGACTTTATCGGGCTCATATGTGATTTAGATACTGGACAAGACAATGGACATTATAGTCACTATATAGGGTACAGTCAAAGCTCACTGAACCCGTAGCCCTCCTTCATGAATGCCTGTCCTCGTCGATCCAAAGGATTGCTCTCGGTCCAAACGTGGATGTACGATCGTTCCTGCCAAAGCAGTTGCGCGTGGAAGGCTTTGCAAGTGTGATCGCCCTTGCAAGCACCAACTGATCCGTACATGGGCCCGAGATTTGAGGGGGAGCATTCTTGGTGGCGCCCATGGACCCAATCGCAAGAATTTTGCATGCTGAAGAGGGACCCGTCGAACACGCTTGACGCCGCCATGGAAGCCCTAACCCAATATTTCCCTATCCTGAAGTCTGAGCCATAATCCCTAAACGCCCTCATATTTTTGCCTTCAAACGACACCGAACCTTTTTGAAACCCCATGTCAGCCCTGAGGTTTTGCCAGTCCTGCGGGCGGCGCACACATTTCGGAGGCCCTGTGCGTCTCATCTTCTTGCGGCCTGGGATGGATTTGTATGGCTTAAGTTTAGGGTGTGGATTTATGGTATGGACTTTCTGCTGTGAGCTTTGGGAAAAAAGGAATTAAGGCAGGCTTTAGCGGCTTCAGGCCGCAACTACGAAGCAACCTCTTAGGAAGGACTCCTTTCTAAGGTAAAAGGCTTTCAATTGGGGGATAGAAGGCATGTAAGGGGACGGGATACAGATTGTTGGGGGCGCAGAAGGCCCCTAACTAGAGAATTCTTAGGGGAAGGCATGGAGGTTATCAGGAATTATCTGGCTTAGGATGCCCGCTGAGAGTTCCAAACTTGGTCCATCCAAGTTACGTTGGCGGCAGTTGCTGTTTCAATTCCTCCATGTTCTTGCTGATGGCGGAATGGCTGGGTGAGCGGGAGCCGAACAACCCAAGCATCGTGAGCTCAGGCCAAAATCTACCGCCGTAAATGCGCGACGAAACAGCAACTATGGCTGGGAAAACGAGCCGCGAGCTGCGCCGGAAGGTGGTGATTCCAGTGATTGCAACGAAAGTTTCCCCAAAATGCACTCAGGGCATGCGTGATTGATCTCTTTGCCAGGCCATCTACACACTGCACCGGGGACAGAGTGATTCTCTGATGGACACTTCTCGCCTAACAAGTACAACAGCCTAGATATCTGTCACCAGGCTTGGTCTCCACTCATAGCCAAAACCTAAAGTTCCCAACTAACAGTTGTCCTGTTTTTCGGGGCTGGGTTTACCAAAATCCTTCTATTCGAGAATCTCCCCTTGGGGCACCTCGACTTTGTGGTTGCTTTCCTCATAGATCTGCTGCGCACCGCGGAAGGTCTCATCCAGGGCCTGCTCCCGGGCACGTGGGCATGTCTGAATGCTTCTGATTCTGTGATCAGCATAGGGTTTTGCCACTTGCATGGCTGAAGAGCAGGCATGGACATCGCACTGCAGGCATTCGGCACGCACAACACGCTGCAGGCGTTACGTAGGTTTTTTGCTACTCCGGCAAGCTTTTTAGCTCCTTTACTGCTAGTCCAGAAACGCAGCCAGGGTAAAAATGCACATCTAGACTTAAGTTAAGACATCTTAAAACCCACACCCTGGCTTCAGGACAGGCAGTCTCTAAGTCTTGACTACGTGTCAACTACACTACACGACTGGAGCAGTCAGGACGGCAGTTGCCCCAGGTCGATCTCAGAGTGAAGCTTATGCCACACTCTGGTCGTGTTCCCGTGGGAAGAGAACGCCATAACACAGGAACCCGTCCGGGTACCGTCCACTGAGCTTCAGTCTGCGGCACAAATCGTTGCCTCCGCATGCCGTCGCTACCACTGCATTGAAAGAGGTACCATGTACCGGCAGTTTCGGTGATGTGGAACGTTGATAAACACAAGATCGATGCTAAGCCTGCACGTAGTACTGCGATAATCATTTATCAAAATCTACCGCCTGCGGCTTGCGGACAACTGTCCTTCAATGGCCAAAACTGTCTCATTTCACATTAAAGCGTCTGGGTCTACGTCCTAGGTGAGCACTCAGCGGGGCAAGCACAGGGGCAGCATGGACGACAGCACTCCAGCACTCTTGAGGTCGAACGAGTGGTCACCATCCGGCATAGTGTCTGGCGTGAAGTGGACGTCCTTTGCCTTGCGCAAAGTCTGTGCCAACAACTGGCGGTACGTGCCCGGTGTAGACCTGTTGCGATTTCCCCACACAGTGAACACTTTCATCTGGCCGGTAGTTGTCTGGCGCAATGCCTGCATCTTTTCAGCCAAGAATGAAGGGAAAAGCACAATCGGACTGAAGAGGACGGTTGCAGACACCTGCGGGAAGATGTTTAGGAGTGAGGCATAGAGTGCAATGCCAGCCCCTTTGCCAAAGCCAAGAATCACCACCTTGTCCCAACCCAAGCCAAACTCGCCCAATTTGGTCTCGATCGACTCTGAAAGGCAGCGGCCGAGAAGCTCCACATCATGCAGCATGTCCAAGTCCTGGTTCTCGAAAGCCTGACGGTCACGCAGGAAGAAGGAACCATCCACAACCTCCGGCTGCTTCAGCGAGAACTCAGCGAAGCCCTCTGCAGCGGGATGCTGGGCCCACGCCAGAGATACAAAGGCTGCACTGCCAACTTGCGAGGCGACGTCCCTGACAGCAGCAGCTTCGTTCTGTGAGTCATCCCCAAGCCAAACAACCAAAGCGTTCGGGCTGCCCAGATTTCCGCCCTCGTGCGCTGTTGGCAGAGGACCCTCAGGGCTCATAGCCGCGACGCTCTGATCAGTGAAGAGCAAGTTCAGCCAGTCGGCTTTCAGCCTGTCACGCTCTTCATCCTCCTTCTTCTTGGCAGCTTCCTCTTCCTTGAGCTTGGCTTGCTTCTCCTTTTCAGCCCTCTGCTCTTGAGCAGACAGTGTCAACTCTTCCTGTAGCGTCGGGAAGACCAGCACCACCTGCGTATTGTCGCCGGCATCCGCTGCTCGAGAGAAGGCCTCACTGCAGGCATCCTCGCCGACCTTGTACACCACGGTGTCCAGGACGAACTTGTTTGCACGAACAAGCTTCGTGACGTTTTCCATGACTGCCATCATCTTCTTGGCATTGGCGGACAAGGAGTGCACCCATCTCGAGATGTTGAAGCCAACGATACGACCGCCCCATGCTGCAAGCAGAGGGGGGGAAATCTCAAGCGGCTGGGCAATGCCATGACCATACACAACGATCTGGGCATCCTTGTCACCTGATTGCAGGCAGTGAATCAGCTGCTCGCAAGAGTCCCGCGTTGCAATGCCGTCCAAAGCAAGCTTTGGGAGCATGCGCTGGTTCCGGTCCCTCCACCGCAGGAGCGCTACGGCATCTGGGAAGACCTCTTCAGCCCCCATCGTCACCAACAGCTCGCTGATGCGCTCATACTGTGCACGCACCGTGGCGCTTGCGGCTGCACGGTTGTCAACCTCTGCCCAAGCTGCCTTGGATCCGTACTCGCCCTTTGCCAGGTTCTTCGGGGAACCGGGGAGAGACAGCATACAAAGAGGCTTCAGCTTCAGCAGCTTGCACAGCTGGAGCAGAGCCGACCCTGAGGCAGAGAGATGAGCTGCGTTGATCAGCACAGAGTCGCCCGGCTTCAGTTTGGATCCAAACTGCTCCAGCACAGTGTATGCACACACAATGGTTGGAGTCAGGCAGATCTGCTCAGGTGTCAGCTGCTCAAGGATCTCTGATGGGATACGCAGGAGGTCATCTTCGCTGCATGTCAACAGAGTTCGCCCAGTTCCTATTGGATGTGCAGAGGAGAACTTCGTAGGCTTCGGGAGGACCAGAACAGCATCTTCTGGCTTGAGGTCCTCGACCCGTGTTCCGGCCTGCTCCACTCTCCCAACTCCCGTCATGCCAAGGCAGACACCGGTTTTCTTCAGGTCCGCATAGACCATGGAGTCATCAACTGGAACAGCAAGCATGCGCACGAGCACCTCGTCATGATCAATAGTCTTCTTGAGAGGCCTGGGCTTCACCTGCACCTGAACTGCGCCTCCCATGGCCTGACCATAGGCATCTGTTTTGGGAGATCCGAGGACATGCTGCACAGGTCCTGGGTGATTGATCTTGGTCGCCAACTCCGATGCATTGAAGAGATGCGTCTTCATAAAATCTTTGTCAGTCAGAACCATGGCCTGTTGATCACGCTGACGCAGCCACTCGGCAAAGCCTTCTTCATGTGTCTGATTGCCCGTAATGATCCTGTCCTTCAAGCTCACAAGAGCCTTCTCATCGGCATCCTTGCTGCGAGGCTCGAAATGATGCCTGCCCCCGGCGAAGCCCTCCACAAACTCCTCCTCTGCTGACTTTTCAGCACGGCCAGTGGCATCATACCGGCGTCGCTTGTCCTGATCAGTCAACACATTGTATGCTTTGTTCAGGAGCTGAAACTTCTTTGGGTCTCCGCCCTTGTCCGGGTGCTCGGCAAGTACCTTGGCGCGAAACTTGGACCTAATCTCATGTAGGGTGGCATCCCGGCCAACACCAATGAGCTGATAGTAGTCGGCTTCGGACATGGCGTCAAAAGGAGGCAGTAGCTAGCTGAATCACTGGTATCCTTGAGCAGGTTTCAGAGTTTGAGCAATAGTATGAACTTGCTTCCACTGTTGCTCTGCTTCAGGCTGGCATCGTCAGATGTTGCCACTACTTTCATGCGTCAATGTGGCAGCTTCCAACCGCACTTATGGACCCAGCATTTTTCACAAAGTGCCTCAACACAGACCCTCAGTGATTGCACACGAGACGTCCCAACCCAGGCTGATCAAAACCCTCGGCTACAGGTCCCTTCATGCGCGCTCATCGAACAGCTATGAGTCTCAACTGGCCCTTGCTTCGTGCCAGATTTTTGCATCTGCATCGTGCTGGCCTCCAGTCGCACGGCAAGGCCCTCCATGCTGCCCTGCCAGGAACGTGGTTTCTGCAGGTGACTGGACAAGGCTGCAGACTGTGCATAACATGGCAACCTGGACAGGGGACAATCCCATTGCGTTTGCTTTCGGAGTGTCATGGCGATGCTGCAATGGGCTGGCCAATGGCAACTGCAGACTGGATCTGGAAAGGCCCAGTCAATTCTTTCAAAGTATTGTTGCTTTAGTTAGCTGCAGCAAGTTCGACTTCTGAACAGGAATCCAACCACTATATCCATAGAAAACTGTCTGCCCGTGACACCCAGCTTATGCTCAAGAAACTGTTGCCATACTGCACAGTATCCGGCAATGAAGAAAACGTTCTAGCTTCTACTGGCAGGAATAACTGGTCATAGGCGTAACAAGCACTGTCATGACCACGCTTCTGGCGATGGTACTAAAAGTATTGCAGCTCGTGATGTGATCATTTTTCTACCCTAAACCCTAAACTCCAAACCCAATGTAGAAGCAAGTCCATGAAAGCATCCTGTCCTCCAGGGCCGAAATCTTCTGCAGGCTGTGGCTCTGCGTTTGATACAGCTCTTGGAAGGACGATGCCAAGGCCTTGCGTATGGTAGTGTTATTGAAATTGTTACTATTTTTGCTGACTATGGGTATTATCATTACTTTTATTACCAGTCGTATATTCATAGTTTTAGCAGCAGCCGCCATGCTGGCGCCGTGGGTAGCCGGCGCAGTACTGATCGTAATGGCAGCAACCAACATCGGTGCCGACGATGGCAGTGGGTTAGCAAAACCTTTTGCATCAAGCTTACCGCGGCCCACCTGCTTCTGCAACCTGCCGCAATATAACGGGAATATAGCACTGAGCCATTTGAGGAATACGCTGCACCGCAAACTATTGAGGTCTTTCGATTGGCCTTGAGCTTGTTCAGCGCCCCTGGGCTCGTCAATGTCTTGAAGAGGATGAATAACAACATAGGAGAAATGTGCTGCATGAATATTAATGAATATCATGGGGACCCGTTCTGTATCAAAAGACAAAGAAAACATGTTGAAAGCACCTACAAACGGAATCTTTTCTGTGAAGCATCATTCTCGGAGTTTGGAAGCCTTAGATGCGCCTCCTCCTTGATCTCACTCCGCCGACGCAAAGAGGCATCCATGTTCTTGAAGGTTTCGTCTAAAACCTGACGGCAATGTTGCTAGTCAGCAGTGCGCTGCTGCAGAAGCAGCATACAGTATCTGTGGGAACTCACGGAGTCCCGACTCTGAAAGTACACCTTAGTCTTAGTCATGTTCGGCATCCTGGAGAGACCTGGTTTGTTGTCATCGGATAGTGTACGCCAACGGGAGTGTCCCGCGTCAGCGTGGGATCTGATTCACGGGGCCGCTAGGGAAGCAAAACCAACTCCAAGTGCGACGAGGCTTCACCACTTTGAAATGATGGGCTTCCACTGGGCTTCAAATCCACCTTCCAACTTGAAACTGCTTGTGGACTGTAAGGCTGCTGCGTCAACCTTTGAATTCAGCTGCGCCAAGGCGTCTGTCGTTGAGACGGAATGCGAGCTGTCCACAGCATGGAGGGTCTCATCCAGCACCTGCAGATGCAATGATGCCTGAGGTGCTTGGTTAAATCCGTGTGGCTACAGCAATGGAGTGTGCTGCTCAAATTTGGGCGCTTGCTCAAATCCCAGGTACATTCAGAAGGAGTCTGTACCGCTAGCTCCTGTTCCACTATAGCATCAGGATAACCCCAAAGCATCCACGCTTTGTGACAATCTGAGAGTTGTGACTTGCCCAACTTTCGCAGCTCCTTTGTGCCACAGCCCAGGTCCACCGCCCACCCGCTTGCCTTCGTGATGGCCTCAACTTGCTCCAAGCCTCAGAGCCCATTGCCATGCTTTTGTCCTTCTGGCTTGGCTCAACAATTGAAACATTGGATTCACGTGTGTTTCCTTTCGATGTTGAGACTCTGCAATGCAAATTTGCAAGCCTAACTCCTCAACATAACGAATGAAAACTGCTTCATCAAGATGGCAGTCGGGCCAAGCTGTGGATCTCACGAATCTCCAGCTGACGACGTGCATCGCCCTGCCATGTCTTGGGCTTTGGAGGAGCACCATAGCTTTGGCATGCTTTGGCCATGCATGGGCTATGGATGCAAGCTGAGGAAGAACTCCCTTATGCAGCATCACTGAATCCTGTGGGGCTTGCTTTACCACTTCCCATTCGAGAAGGCTTCTTGCATGCAAAAAACATGTGCAAACTTCATAGGCGCTTCGAACAAAGCGCGCTTTCAAGGAGAAACGCCGCAGATACAAACCCACCCAAGGAGACACCGAACCATCCCGGCAATCTGCACAAACTGACTAATGTAATCTACAATCAAATAAGCCACGTTAGAGGCGTCAGCATCAGCCAGTAAAATTGTTGCTCACGGATGCTCACGGCTTCTCAAAAACAGGGCTGCCTAAAGTGGCAAACAGGAGTCACTCTTTAGGAATCCCTATTTTTCTCGACAGAAATCCCATGGGGCACACCTTTTTGAAAGACTATCGTGCAACTGGTTTTGAAGTGGCCTCTTCGGCTGCCAGCGCGGCCAGGGATGTTCGGGTCCTGTGATACAATGGGGAAATTGTGAGGGGTCTGCCTACTAGAATCTTGAAAAAAATTGCATCCACAATTTCGAGAGATCCACACATGAACCAAAAAAGGAAGTCACGAGAAACGCGCTGCCGGTGCTGATACTTGCATGACAATGCCAAGGTATGTTTATCTGTGAGGCTTTCAGGATAGCAAGAACCGCTGACTGGCAGGCGCGGTATTCCCTGACAGGTTCCAGCTCCCAGTCCTCTCTGCCAAGTCTCCCAAGGCGCCAGAACCTCATCAACAACAAGTACTTTCTGCTAAATTTGCCTGCCTTAAAGGTGGATCTTTCTTCCCAGCCATTTAATGAGGCGGCTGGATGGCAACGGAAAGCTTCTCAATGAGAAGGAAACTCTACTGAAAACCGCACAACGCTGAAGGACAAGAACCTGCAACACAAGCACGCGCTTCGGACTCGGTCGTGCAGGGAGCCAAATGCTGATGTGCAATGCGAATGCGCTGGGGCTAGGTCGTATTCGTTACTCAGGTCACTGTTGCATGCTTACTTACATGCCTGTCTCTCATACTTTTACTCTTTGTTAGGCTTTCCGTAGTAGCTGTATGTACTGGGGCGAAATCCTTCTAGCAGCTATGCTAGCACAGTGCAAGGCCCAGGGTAAGGATCACAGGGCCATCCTGTTCTCTTACCTTGGCACCTTGGGATAATGGAAAAGAAAATGGAAACTACTATAGTATAATAAGGTATATATTGGGATTATATCGGGATAATGGAAAAGAGAATGGAAACTATTACAGTACCTTGGGATAATATTGATGAATTCCTGATGACAGCAAAGGGCCTTTGAACAACTGGGTTGCTGTTAAGGAACTTAAATTAAGTTACCATAATGGGTATATATATATAGTTAATAGTAGGGTTTCCCCAATATAGTAACTTAATTTAAGCTCCTTAAATCCCTATATTCCCCCAGTATCCATTTCATTTTCCATGTTCTTTTCCATTTGATTCTCCGTTATAAGGGGATAATATGCCCTAAAC